ATCTAATTAGCGAAGTTTTCAATCAAGAAATTGTGGCCTGTTATGCCATTTCATTGATATGTGATTTTTTTTTACAATGCATGTCCACTCTAACTAGATCAAAACAATAATTATAATTATTACCTAATGAGATTCATGAAAGACATCATCACCCATGCCCCAACCACATTTTCTAATATTAAATTTAATTACACTTAAATTATAATATAAAATTTAACCAACTTTAGTTAGCTAGCTAGTTATTAACTTCAATTTGTTATGACTAATTGCATACAGCAGTTTGAGAATGTCTACAGTGTTCAGTATGTAGCTGTACATATAGAAAAAGTCCTTGAAGAGGTAGTTCAAGTCATATTATACATATGGATAGTGGTAGTGGTTAGGCCTAATAATTAGTTCAGGTATATACATCCATTTTTTTGGCCAATTTTTATTTTTTAAGCCACTTAATTTTAGAAATTTAGTTTGCAAATTAGTTAAGATTATAAATTTTTTATAGTTTTGGATTTAGGGTATAGGAATGATACAAGAATTTTAATGTGTTTGGATAGTAATTTTAATATAAATAGTGATTGATTTGTTTTAATTGCTAGTTGGCTAATACATAGTTAATTTTTTTGTAAATTTGCAAGGGCTAGTTGCTTGAAAAGCAGCCCTCACTTTCAAAAGAAAAATACCATAAATACTTAATGATTATTTTAAAATAACCATCAAGTTAATAAATACTCAAGTACTTTTAGTAAATTTTTCTAGGCATGGTCAAATTTTCTATTATCAATACTAGATGATTATTGTAAACTGTCAAGTATTATTTTCTATTATCAATACTAGATAATTATTGTAAACTGTCAAGTATCTAATAATACTTGACAGTTATTACCAAATAACTATCAAGTAAAATTTTCAATACTTGATAATTTTTAATTATTAAATAAGAAATTTTTTTATTTAACGGTTAAAAATCATTAAATATTGACAAAAATAATTGATAAATAATAAAGTTTTCTGTGATATTGTCTTTTTGAAAAAAAATCATTCTTTAAAATTTTAATTACTATATATTATCAATGTTCTTATATAGAATTGTTAATAAGAATATATATGAGAAGATGTAAATATTTTTAAAAATTTTAAATTTTAACTAATCTATTCATAAATTATAAAATAATTAATTATCACTTATATTATAATAGAAGAAAATACTAGCGCTCACGGATGCTGATATACATATACATGCATATGCATGCGACGCGATTCTCAATGTTAATTAATACCGCCCCCCCCCCCCCCCCCCGCGTGTCGTCTAATAAAATGCTTCTACTTGTTCTAGCGTAGTGTCCATAACCCATGCGAAACGTGGATATATGAAGTCATCATCATCAATTCTTGTTGTATTCCACGTGAGTTTGGTATCCAGGGCGAAATTTTGGTCAGTTCATAATTTATTAAGGACCATGGGCTTCAGTCTCCGTTCTTCTTGTATTTTTTTTGTTAAAATACAAAATCACAGTTAGAACTGACAAAAAAGACCAGCTCAGCCTTGTAGGATCAGTCTTTGATGGACTCGGGTCTAAAAGAATCAATCCTTTTTAAGTTCAAGTTTTCTTTAAGACCTTGATATTCGAAGCCCGGCCCTTGACATAGCGGGCTCAGGGCCGGCCCTGCGACTATTAGGCCCTTTTAACTATTTTTATTTTTTTTTTAATTTTTTTAATCAAATAAAAATCACTTCATTCTAATTTAATATCCAATCAAGAAAGGTGCAAAAAAAACTAACTAAATAACATTTAAATGAATTAAAAACACAAATAAAATAATAGCAATGTAATAAGTAATGGATCGGCTAAGCCGGCAAACACTCAATCAAAATTAGAAGAGTAAATGTTGAACTGAATGAATCATTAATTATCATGGATCTGGATGAATTAGGGGATTTAAGGTTGTATTTTTTTTAGAAAATAGCAGCTAAGGATTTCTGTATGAAATTTATATCAATTAAGAATCAATTATTGTCAAAACCTGAATGAAAAACAAGCTACAATGAACTATTATTAATTTAAAATGAGTTGTTATTAAAACCTAAATGAATACTTATTGATAAAGGCTAACCCGAATCCACAAGTATCCACTCTGATTTTGACAACAAGTGATCCTTGATTGATATAATTTTTGATCAGTGATTCTTCATTGCTATTTTTTCTTTTTTTTTTGCCTTCCATCCTCAGTAAATATGAGCTGATATGTGATGTGGAGTAAGATTTAGTTTAATTTTTTTTTTAAATCTAAAAAGAGTGAAAATTATGAGAATTAATAAAAAAAATATGCATATGCAAGCTTAAACGGGCTAGCCCTCGGCCCTGCAAGGCCGGCCCGTTTAAGCTCTAGATTAAATGGGCTTAAATGGGCCAGCCCGTTTAAGCTTGATTTATCATTTTGGAGTTCTATTTACAAGCCCGACCCTACTGTTATACAGGCTTAAACGAGTTAGCCCGACGAGCTTGACCTGTTTTCCTAGCTCTAATCACAGAAAAAACTGTACAAGAAAACCAATGTCAGGTCACATATGAAATTATAGTTATTTTTATTTTATAAAAATAATTTCTTATTGTATTATCTTAAAATTTTATGATATCCTGCTTCTTTAAAACATTTTATCATCTGTCATATCATATTATTTTTAAAAAAATACTCAAAATAGTTTTTTAAAATAATAAAAAATCTAGCAAAAATAAATAATTTTTTCATAAAACAAGGTAAAACAAACGCGTAAGTGATCCAAGGGATATAACACAGTAGGCGAGCAGTCGGGGAGGCGAACTTGAAAAAGAGAAGCTTGTAATATGCAGAAGTCTTAAAGATATAATAACATTTAAAAACAACTAACTAATAATAACTTTTTTTTATTATTATAATCAAACATAAGATAATATTTTATTTTTATAAAATTTATATAAAATCAAATATATTTTTTTATGAAATCTTTAAATTATTTAAAAATTACTTAACTGTTATGATCTCATACAAACGGCCCTTTATCTCCCAAGATGCAAGACGCGTGGCTTAGGTCCTGTAGATCTGGTAGATCAGGTTGACAAGGTCCACTGGCAAGCGCGGAGTTAAGAATTTTTATTAAGAAAGTCAAGAAATAAAGTATATAGGATAATTAAAAAAAAATTAAATATATATATATATATATATCTAGATCATCATTATAATATAAATATTTTAACATATATATTTATATTTAATTTTACGCATGTTAAACAACATATATATTAAGTTTTGCTCATCCATTTTTTATGATATAAAAATTATTAGTTATTATATCTATGATAAATATTTTAATAATTTTCTTTTCAATATAAATTATCATTAAATTGATAAAAATTTTATCATTCTTATGAGCATTAAATGATTTAAATGCATTATTAAAATTAAAAGTTATGTTCAATGTAATAAGTTATATTATTTACTTATTAAATTTATTATTTAATTTTTTTCAATTGATAATTATAGTAAACAAATATATCAACACATTAATAATGCTCAATTGTCATAAAATATTTATGTTAATAAGATCAAATTATATTAAAGTAAAAACCATTTATGTCATAAATTTTAATAGTTTGATTATTTGAAAAAAAAGAATTTTTTTTAGGAGAACATTTTCATCAAACCTCTTAACTTTTAAATAAGTAATTTTACGATAGATATTAAGTACATAGCATTCAATATATTTTGAGATTTTTGTTGCAATGTTTAAAAAAGTTTGTTAATAATAATTCTTAAAATTTCTTTCATTAAATATAAAATGAAAGCAAAATAAAATGACATCAATACTTTAAGAGTATGTATAGTATTATCTTGTTGAAAATGAGTAGATCCTATAACAATCATATTTTTAAGCTACTGAAATAGTTGCTCTATATATATGTAAAAAATCATATATAGAATTAAAATGAAAATTTCATTTAATATTTCATAAATTCTATAATGTGCCAATTTAAGAAAATCAAAAATATAAAACCCTTACATTTTATTAAGAAAAAATTAAAAAGTTAAGAGGGTCCGTGGCCCTTGTCGGTCCCCCTCTCTCCACCCCTACAGCCACTGGATTACCAAAAAAAACAAAAACACATTTCTAAATTCCAATTGTAAAATAAATTAATTAAGGTGCTATGTTATTTATATATCCTGACGGAGAGAGAGAGGAAAAAATATAAAAGAAATACTCCTATAATACAGTATGTATATGGGAAAAAAATTTAAAAAAAATCATTCAAATCTTTTTTCTTAGGATCAGGGAGCCAAGTACGCGGGGCTGCACGTTGGGACATGGGACTTGTGTGGAAGGATATTAATCATAAATATACTCCCTTTGTTAAAAAATGTAAGATATTTTTAACTAAATCTCACTTTTTAATAAAATCATCATCTACTTTTAAATTAACTCTATCGTTTCGTATTTACCTCTATTAAATACCTCATAATAAATATAAAGTTATTATCAATAGGGGCATTTTTAGAAAAAAAGACAATGATTACATCTCAAAAGATTAAAAATACCTTACATTTTTTAATATCTAATTTTTTTAAAAATATTTTATATTTTTTAATGGAGGGAGTAAATGAAAACCTTTCAGTAGTCAATTCTAATGAAAATAAAGATAATAGAACTTTTAAAAGTAATTTACAAGTAAATTTATCAAAATTTTTATAATTTATATTTTAATAAATATAAAATAAAATACCTAAAAACTTGACCGTCTATGGTTAAAAAACAGTGATAAGAATGGAAGATAAATATATAATTTTATGATTTTTCTCTGTTCCCTATCTGCCCCTGTATATACCAAGTATTCATCGTTGAAAGCTCTATAGATCTACCAATTATTCAAGCTCTTTCTCTCATTATTCATTTCTCTCCTCAACTTCCAAGTTCGAACCGTGATGGCTCAACCACAGGAATCTCACTCTCTGTCAAAGACTCTTATCAACAGAAGAAGAGAGCTTCTCACATGCCATGCAGCTCGTGACACCTATTGCGATTTCCATGGCGCTGCAAACGGCGGTGCAGCTCGGCGTGTTCGATGTCATTCATGGAGCTGGTCCCGGCACCGAGATGTCCGCTGCCGAGATCGCGTCGGAGCTTTCTTGCAAGAACCCAGAAGCAGCTTCGGCGCTCGATCGACTCCTCCATCTTCTAGCGTCTCACTCTGTTCTCTGCTGTTCCGTTATCCCCGACGAGAATGGAGGGCCGGGATGTTTCAGGCGATTGTACGGCCTCTCTCCGGTGGCCAAATTCTTTGTGCGAAATACGGACGGTGCATCGTTGGGCCCCGTGGTTGAATTGGCTCATAATAAGGTCTTCCTGGATAGCTGGTTAGTCAGTATGTTTTGGGCACATGTGGTCTCCTGCGCTGTTTCTGTTTTGTTCATGGAACTATGCGCCTATGATTGTTTTTAGATAAAATATTACTTCCTTCGTTTCAAAATATAATATTACTCTCTTTATTTTAAATTATAAAATATTTATATATCAAAATATGAGATATTTTAAAAAAAATTAATGCTTTATTAAATAAATTTATTTTAATATTATTTTTTCTTTATCTCTATTCAATTTACTTCATATTTTTTAATATATTAAATGAAAGATATTTTTAATAAATTTTATATTTTTATTTAAAAAATATTATTTAAAATGAAAGGAGTATAAAGCAATAAAAGTAAATCTCTCGAACGATAACAAGAAAAAAGGAATAAAAAAGAATATAGGGATAATTAAACATTTCAGTCATTTAATTTTGTTTTAATTATTAATTTAGTTATTCAACTTTAATTTTTATTAAATTAGTTACAAATGTTTTCTTAAATTAAAATTTTAAAACATAAATTGACTCTCAAATTAATACTCCCTTTATCCCAAACTATAAAATACTTTTAGATAAAATCTAACAAATCAATAAATCACATTAAATACATTTAGCAACTTTATCTTTTCAAAATAAAAATTTAAATTTTAAAAAATATCTATTATTTAATATAGTGAAAGAAAAACGACAGAAATTAATTATAGAGAGAGAAAAAATAATATTAAAATTAGTACATTTAATGAAACCTTAATCTACCCAAAGTTTTTTATATTTTGGGATGAAAAAACTTCTTCAAAAGTGCCTTATAATTTGAGATGAAGGGAATATGATATATAAAGTATGTTAATAAATTGATATGTATATGTAGCTCAATGAAATTAAATTAGCTTTTAAATCAATATAATCTTTTTATATTACTCAAAAGTACACATATTTTCAATTAATATACATAGTTAGATTTTAAAATTGTTATCTTCTTTTTAAATATTAAGGATCAAATCAATAAATGAAGTAAATTTGAGAGACTAAATTAATAAAAAATTAAATTTCAGGGATCAAATCAGTAGTCAAAAAAAAAATTTCATATTATTTGTCTGCCAATGTTTTTTTCCCCCTTGATCTAAAGTGATGAACCGTACACTTATTCAAGTGAAATATTATATATGAGATTTTATTTTCTTCTTCATAAATATCAATTTATCACCACTCAAATTAAGAATTCGTATTCGTAATTTCTTCTAAAATTTATATGCTTAATCCTTTGATAGTTGACAACAGTTTCAAAATTTATGTCATTCAATATAAAAATAGCTGATCAGTAAAGATTATCCATTGAATTTTCGGACTTTTTTTGTTTTAATTTAATTATCATCTCTCTCTCTCTCTCTCTCTCTCTCTAAATGCATGCAAATTAATTGTGATATTATAGAAATCCAAGAGAATGGAAGATCATTACGCAAATTTAAAAGATGAATCGGATTATTCATGACTTGTTAAAAGAAGCACAATTTGCTATAAATTTACAATATATATCTATATATATATATATATATATCTCTTATATTAATAATGTGAACATTTTTAAGGTCCCAGCTGAAAGATGCAATATTGAACGGGGATATTTCATTCAATGGGGTGCATGGGTCACATGCTTTTGAGTATATGAGGTTGGACTCCAGATTCAACCATGTGTTTAGCAAAGCGATGATGAATCATAGCACTATAGTTATGAACAAGATTCTTGAATCCTACCAAGGTTTTGGTGACATCACTAGACTGGTTGATGTTGGTGGAGGTCTTGGGATTACTCTCAAGTCGATCACATCCAAATATCCAAATATTCAAGGAATCAATTTCGACTTGCCTCATGTCATTCAACACGCACCTCCTTATCCTGGTATGGCCTATAAAATTCATTACTTTGACACTTCAATCCAATTAATCATATTAATTAAATCATCGATTGTAATAACGTTGCAGGAGTGCAACACGTAGGAGGAAATATGTTTGAAAGCATACCGAGAGGAGATGCCATCTTCATGAAGGTGGGTTAGTATGTAATATTATCATCATATTATAAATATATATATATATATATATATTTAATCACAATGAGAGGTTAATTAGGTGTGGGTTTAATTTGTTAGGGTAAAATTTGCTTGAAATGTCGGATATATCCCTTGTTTTTTAACTAATGTTGACTTGCTATTGGTCAATACCACCTAGTGGTCGAGATAAGGCTTCTTGTTGTTGTTGATGACTTGTTATTGGCAAGCATTGACCAGTCAAAAATAATGTTACTCAAATGTTAATACTTTGATATTTATAAGTCAAATTGATATAATAGATTTACAAGTGAATATAAATGACCTATTGTATTGTATTGTTTGACTTGTAAATATAGGAAATTTAACTCATAAATCTGCTATATGTTTGATTTCTAAATATCATAGGATTAATATTGAAAAAAATTTAAGAATTATTTTTTTGACTTGGTTACTAGCGATCAATCAACCTAGTCAACTTTAGTCAAATGAGATGAGTCCAAGAACATTTGTATAATTTCTCATAGAAAATTAATTACAACCAAGTCTCAAGAATTTGGGAGTATTTTCACAAATTCATGATACTTGATTTATTTATAATCCCTCCCCTCCAAACACACACACACGTATAATAAATGACAACTAGAGGTTAAAAGATGTGGCTTTGTTGGGGTAAATTTCGTAGTGGATACTTCATGATTGGAGCGATGAATGGTGCTTGAAGCTGTTGAAGAATTGCCATGACGCCATTCCTAAAGATGGAAAGGTGATTGTGGTGGAGGCAGTTTTACCATTTGTATCAGAAATTTCTGCTGCAGCGAAAAGCATCACCCAAAGTTATGTGATGATGTTGACTTATTGCCCAGGTGGCAAGGAGAGAACTGAGCATGAGTTCATGAAATTGGCTACATCAGCTGGGTTTAGAGGCATCAGATTTGACTGCTTTGTTCGAAACTTTTGGATTATGGAGTTCTTCAAATAGATGCATACATGTGTTTCCTTCGACAACGTTATCATGATGTGGTAATTGGGACACAGTAATTTGTGCCACTTGCTTCAATGTACTCTATTTATCCTTTAGAAGTTTCGTGGGTTGAATATGTGATGAGAACTATGATGAAATAATTTTCTCCTTGCTTGAGATGTTGTCATAAATTCATTCTACCAGAGAATCTATTGACGCCCAAATCCCATTAAAATGCCCTAATGTTCTCTCTCTCTGTTTTTTTTTTCCCACACGGGGTTCTCTCAAAATCCGTTTTTATGAGATAATTCTGCGGTAAGGTTCTTGGTGTTGACGTGTATATAAAGATTCTTCACACGTCTTACAAGTAAACTCACACACACAAGCACACCTTATAACCGGCCATATTCTAAACAAAACTGTATATTAGTTCCTCAAATGTACCCCCTCCAGATATCTTTTTATATGGGGAAAAAAAATTAAGTGTTCCATACTAGTCAAAGAATAGGATTACGATTAATAAATATAGTTGAAATTTAATTTTTTCCAAATATCCATTATCAATTGTTTGGCATGGGTGGTTGGGTATTTAATAAGCTAACTTAATCAGGATGAATTCTTTTAATAAGTATATTAGAGACAATCTGTAGTTGTTCTCTATATTTATATTTACTTTAGCTAGAAACTAAACTCCAGAATTAAGAAGGAGACTGTAGCGTTCCGATGAAGAACAGTAACACATGCGCAGTCAAACGGAAATATGGTGCAAGTTTACTATTTAAGACCTGGAAAAAGAAACTAATTTTCGGGGTGAAAGCTTTCTTTCTAATTATTTATTTAATAATTTTTCGATGATTGGTGAAAGGTTTCCTTTAAATTATCTTGATGAAGATTAAAGTTTGCGTTCCCATAAATAGCATTCTGAAAAAATGACATAATTTGCACCATGCACCCCATAATATTTGATACCAATGCTCCTAAAAAATAGTTTAAAAATAAATTTCATCTTTAATGCTAATTTTTAATGATGCCCCCCCATGAAGAGTTGGCTTGCATAATTTCTTACTTACAAAACACTAATAAAAACCTCAAACTTTCAAGTCTTAAACCCCAATCCATCTGTGGCCAGGTTGCTTCATTGTCCCATTCATTCTCATTTTATATATATATACATGTATATATCATAATAACATAATGCTAAATGATTTACATATTTATGAAATTTATAATGCAATAGATATGATGAGTTTTGGTGTACCATATTATGGCTAAAAGAGTGAATTGCCGTTTCAACTATAGGTCTATGAATGTCAGGGATCCTAAATTTATTTTTGGTACAATATTTCCACACTAATTTTTGAAAATGGTACAACCTAATCTTACCGTTAACAAAATTAATTTTGACAATTAGCTGATTAGAAAATAAAATTTTTAAGGTTATTTTCTTGCCAATAAAATTTTTTGGTCATTTTCTAGAAATTTTGGGTCATTTACTATAATTTTTAAGGTCATTTTTAGCTAATTAATGATCAAAATTAACTTTTGTTAATAGTAGAAGTCAAATTGTACTATTTGCAAAAATTGAAGAAAAATATTATACAAAGAAATGAGTTTAGGATTTTAAATACTTTTGAATCTATAGTTTAATGGCCAATTTGCTTTGTTTTACCCTACTATTATCTTAAATTCCTATTTAGTTAACCAAATATAGATGACACAAGTATTTTAGATTCTCTAGTTTTGCCTAATCTATGTCAGTGTCAAATATTTAAACTTTAATTGTGAACTTTAATTTTTATTTGTTAAAGAAAATATGAATTTCATCTTGCATGATCTAATAATACAGTCGACTGAAATCCACATACCAATTATATAAAAAGGTTATAAGATGGGTAAATCTCTTTCTTTCATGTTTATGATGCCAATGCAAAAATTAAATAATTTAAAATTTATGTAACAAAAAATGTAATGAAAATTTAACTTAATTATAATAAGCATAGTTTCTAGTTCTTTTATAAGGGAAGGCAAAAGTTACCACAGTTGCAAATTATTGTGTCCCAATTAAATAGACGGAGGTGCTAGGCACTCCATTTTAAATAGTTGATGATTTATTTTGGACTATTGCATAGTATAGGATACTACATGTCTCTTGATATTTATTTGTAACTCAAAAAATTTATATTAATTTTTTATAAGATACTTATTTATATTTTTTGGTTTTTTTCCAAATTTTTTAGTTAATTAACAATTAAAGTTAACTTTTGTTAATGGTAGAGGCAATGTTGCATTGATTTTAAAAGTTGAAGGAGAACATTATATCAAAAATAAATTTAAAGTCCCATATGTCCCTAGACCTATAATTTAAAGGTCAAAATTTGCCATTTGACCCAAAAAATTTGAAATGAAATGTGTTATTTTGCATTGGCCAACAACAGCAGCTAGTATTTTATTTTAGGGTTAAATAACAAAAATTCCTCACTTTTTTCTAAAAGTGTCTGATAACCAAATTTTTTTTGTAAATTTGGTAAGAGACTAGTCGACAATAATTTGAAAGTGAAATTGGGAGATCAAATTATACCCCAAGTGAAAAAGTTTAGATATTTGGGAGCCATTATTCAAAATGATGGCGAAATTAGTGAGGATATTTTACATAGGATTCAAGCTGGGTGATTTAATTGGAGAAAAGCTAAAGGAGTTATTTACGACCGTAAAGTGCCTAATAAACTTAAAGGAAAGTTTTATCGTACTGCTATCAGACCGGCCATGTTATATAGTAGTGAATGCTGAGCTCTAACAGGACAACAAGAGCATAAAGTTGGAGTAGCAGAGATGAGAATGTTACGATGGATGTGTGGACATACACGTAAAGATAAAATTCAAAATGAGCACGCACGTGAAAAAGTGAGGGTAGCACCTATTGAGGAAAAAATGGTAGAAAATTGCTTGAGATGGTTTGGGCATGTACAAAGAAGACCATGGGAGGCACCAGTGAGAAGAGTGGAACATATAACTTTGAGCCCGATTAAGAGAGGTAGAGGAAGGCCTAAGAGAACACTTTTGAAAATTGTTGAACGTGATCTCTTAATTAATAATATTCCTAAAAGCTGATAAATGATAGAGCACAATGACATCTTGCAATCCATATAGCCGACCCCACCTAGTGGGATAAAGGCTTGTTGTTGTTATTGTTGTTGTTGTTGTTGTTGTTGTAATGTTACCTAGAACATTCAAAAAGTGCACAATATTGCCATATTGTTAATCTATACTAAAGTTGACCATTCAATGTTTGCATTGAGCAACAATTATACGTCCTTTTCCCCCCCCCCCCCCTCTCAAGCCATTCTTTTACATCCTCAATTGAATTTCCACCCCAGATGAGATTGTAAACAATGCCGCCGATTTGTTCTCACTGACGTTATTCTACTTCTTCTTCAATCACAGCTCTCTCCTTCTTCACTATCTTCTCCTTCGATTTTGCTCTCTCTGAACTCGACGATATGATATCAATCTCTTTTTTGCCAATCTCCTCTAGTCCTCTAATCCCTCTTCAATAGCTTATGTGCGTTTTCAGACGCCAAATGATGTGCTCAAGAGAATGGACATAATTAACATCATTGCTGATCTGGCATAGACTTTACTGGGTCCCGCTCCATCGACCGGAGTGAGACCGTCGGCGCAGGAGATGCAGTGGCCTTTATTTGGGATGAGGTCACTTATAGGCAGCTTTTTGAAAAATGGGGTGTTGGTTAATTCACCAGAGAAGTTGTTGAAGGAGACGTTTAAGGATACGAGCCAGGTTTTGAAGGTCAGAGAGGTAGTTCAAGTTTCCTGAGAGGTTGTTGCTGGAGAGATCAAGTCCACCCAGTTTGGTGAGACTAGACATTTGAGATTGGATTTGGCTAGAAAATTAATTGAAGCTAAGGTTTAAAGAGATTTCCAATGACGGGATTTGACTCAATTGCCTTGGAATTTCTCCAGAAAAATCGTTGCTTCCCAGGTCTAGAAGTTGAAGCTTAGAGCATGAGATCTCTTCTAGGTTCTTCAACTGAGTTGATTCTTTCTCCAGAAATTTGATTGAGAAAGAAGAACAGTTTAGAGAGGGAGAAAAGGAAACATGTAAATTTGTTGGTCAAATGAAATATTTAATGGTCAACACTAGTTTAGGTTAACGGTGGGGCAACATTGTACTTTTTTTAAAAGTTTTGAGATTACATTATTTCAAAAAGGACTTAGAATATTAGGTATCTCTCATGAAAAAATTGTAGGGTATTTTTATCCTTTAACCTTTTATTTTAATATTATTTTTTGAAATAGAGATAAAAAAAGAGCTACCGGCCCTGGGGGGAATTGGTAGCTGAAGTCCTTGTTCTGAGCTTGACATCTATAGTTGGTGGATGAATATATCAAATATCAACTTGTTGGAGAAGATTATGGCATATGCTATAAGGCGTTCACAAATTAACAACAACAACAACAACACATTCTACAAAATTATGAAGGATCAAATATCACTTTTTTTCCTAAACTTTTTTTTAAGGAGTATTAGACATCTTATATTAATATGTGGGGTGATATTCTCCTTAAACCATTTTTTCAGCACTACAACAAAAATAACTTATAAGAGCATTTATTTTTGTTCTTTTGAAGCTTCGAAAGGCTATGGAAATGCTTTTAAAATGATCCCATAGATCAACCTCCCAAAAACGCTGTAATGACTCAAACTTTTAAATTTAACAAAATGTTATTCCAAGGAATATTTTATTTAAATAAGATTTCTGTTAGCCAATTTGATTTGATTTTATTTTAAATCTTAGAAGAACCTAGGTTCTTTTTTGTAATTTCCCTGGCTTCTTGTACTTTTCTTTGTGCTTTTTCTTGCTATTTTCCCCAAAATTTCTTTGATCGGATTATGTCTTCGAGAGTAAGCAAAAACAGAGCATTCACAAAACCTCTTCTTCACCTACCTTAGATTACTCCCTTCTCGTCACTGTCGAACCCTTCCTCCTCACCGTCGGCGT